CCTCCCCAGGGCCCGGGAGTCACTGGGTGCTAGATTCCTCAAGTTCCCTCTTGTCACCGGGCTGGGACCAGGACAACCCGGGCAGCTGCAGAGCTTCCCTGGGCACCTTGGCCCTCCCGTGTGAGGGCTTCACAGCAGCCCTGCGCCGGCACCACCCTCCTCCCGTCCACCCCCCATCCGCACCACGCCTCCCTCCTCACGTGCCGACCATCACATGTCCACCTCACGAGCCAACCATCACGTAACCGCCCCCACGTGCTGACCGTCACGTGTCCACCTCATGTGCTGTCACGTGTCCACCCCCACGTGACAACCATTTGTCCACCCCCACATGCCAACCATCACGTGTCCACCCCCACGTGACAACCATTTGTCCACCCCCACATGCCAACGTCACAAGTCCGCCCCACATGCCAAGCATCACGTGTCCACCCCCACGTGCCGACCATCATGTGTCCACCCCACGTACCATCACGTGTCCACCCCCCCCATGCCAACCATCACGTGTCCACCCACAGGTGCCGACTGTCACGTGTCCACCCCCACGTGCCGACCATCACATGTCCACCCCACATGCCGACCGTCACGTGTCCACCCCCACGTGCCAACTGTCACGTGTCCACCCCCACGTGCCGACCATCACGTGTCCACCCCCACGTGCCATCACATGTCCACCCCGTCCACCCCACATGCCGACCGTCACGTGTCCACCCCCACGTGCCAACTGTCACGTGTCCACCCCCACGTGCCGACCATCACGTGTCCACCCCCACGTGCCATCACATGTCCACCCCCCACGTGCCGACCATCACGTGTCCACCCCCACGTGCCATCACATGTCCACCCCCCACGTGCCGACCGTCATGTGTCCACCCCCACGTGCCATCACGTGTCCACCCCCACGTGCCGACCGTCACGTGTCCACCCCCACATGCCATCACATGTCCACCCCCCCCACATGCCAACCATCACGTGTCCACCCACAGGTGCCATCACGTATCCACCCCCCATGTGCCGACCGTCACGTGTCCACCCCCACGTGCCGACCGTCACGTGTCCAGCCTCACAGCCATCCGCACCCCCCCCAGGCGCCCTCCGCTCTCAGCAGCAAACCCTACCCCCAGTTCCCGACGCTCCACACGGCCCGCCCTAGACGCCCGTCAGCGCCTGCTCTCGAGCTCTACCAAGCGCAGGAAGGTGACCGGACGAGAGACCACGCCGAGATGTGGGCGCTGTCCGGTCACCAAGGAGCGTCTGAATCCCCACCCCGCCCACGGGGAGGAAAATGAAAGCAGCCGGCCAGGCCCACCTGCAGGAGCTCACTGCAACGCTAAGAAGCGTGCCACACGGGAAACCAGGAGGGAACAGCTCGGGGCTCAGCGGGACATTGCGCCCTCAGGAGGACCCCAGGGCCCGCACGGGCCGCCCCTCCCCGCAGGGCCGGCGTGGGCAGCGGGTGCTCTGGCCCCCCCAGTCGGCTTCCAGAAAAGTGCGTTCAGGACACTCCACTGCGTCGTCACTCACAAGTCGGTGGCAGCCAGGACTGGAAGCCAGCCTTCCTGTCGCTCGATTCATTTTTAAATGGACGTGCGACGGAACTAGACACACAATGCGCAGCTCGCCAGTTCTCGCAGGTGAGCACACCTGTGCGACCCCCGCCCGGCTCAAGAGCTGGGGCCCCTGCAGGAGCCCCCAAGGGGGCCGGGATCCCGAGTCCCGCCGTGGGCTCGTCTGTTTGTAACTCTGGGTCACCGCTACCGGGGCTGGCTGCGGTCACCCCACACCCTGCCTGCAAGGTCCTCCCCCCTGTTGCCTCTCACAGCTGCCATTCGTTCCTTGTCCCCGTTCTGCCGTGTTCCGCCGAGGGGACATTCCACACTCTATTTACCCAGCTGAAGGGGCACTGAGTCGCTGCCACCTCGGGGCTCTCAGGAGCCGTGAACATTCTTCCGCGTGCCTTCCGTGGGCGTGCTGGGTCCCCGTGTGTGCGTGCCTCCGCTCAACTTTGGTAAACGCCACCGAGCGGTCTGCCAGAGTGACGGGGTTCCCGGCACCCCGTGGCCTCGCCAGCACTTGGTCTTTTCCTTGTCGGCCCCTCTGGCTGCAGTAGCTGTGCACTAGTGTCTCCCTGTGGCTTTAAGTTTTATTTAAGTTTTTATTTTAAGTTTTAAAATAAAAACTTTAAGTTTTTATTTCTCAGGTGACTCCGGAGGCCGACCGTGCCATTGCCACTTGCATGCCCTCCTCTATGCACACCGCCAAGCGTGGGACAGCGTTTCCACGCTGAGCTGTCTTGGGTCTGCTGAGTTTGGGGTTTGTTTTTTTTGTTGTTGTTTTGTTTTGTTTTTGCTTTCTCCACTGTGTCTCTTGTTGATCCAGACAAACAGGAACAAAACGGTTTCCTGGACGAGAGCCCGGGTTCCTGCCGCTGCCCCGGCACCCGCCGGGCGGGACGTGGGGCCAGGGAGCGACCGGCTGTGCCATCCGTCAAACAGGGATGATGACGACGGTGACGGCGGCCCGGGTCCCTAAGCTCGCGTGAGCTCCTGCACACACACGCTGGGGTCCGTGCTCGGCACACCCTCTGCGCCCCGTAGGGCAGGATTTGCACCAACACCCTGTGTACCTGAATGCACCCCAAAAATTGCCATGACGGACAGGGGAGAGAGACAGAGAGAGACAGAGAGAGAGAGGACAGAGCAAAACTGAGAGGCAAAATCTCACAATGTTCTGGTCCTTGTGGCCCTTTTACTGCAACCTGGTATTTCTCCCCACTCCCGTGTACGGGAACCAAAGAGGCGACAAAACTGGGGCTTGAGGGGGAAGCTGGGGGCGATTTAATCTCCAGTGAAAAGAAACAAACCAGAGCTACTCACGAGGAGGCCCACGGCTCTCACACTGAAGGAACCCGCCTAGAGCACCCCATGGCACAGCCGCAGAAGGGGGCCCCGCAGCCCCGAGGCTGGAATGCACCAGAAAGACAATAGCCCAAGCCCTGAGCACCCACTCTCCTCTGGCGGGAAGTGACAAGGACAGGCCTCATCCCGGGCCACCCAGCCCCACCCTGGCTTTCGCTCGGTTCCTGCTGCGTCTCAGCAGTCCGGGGGGCGTAAACACGCCTGCCTGCGAGCCCCGGGTCCCCGAGCCGGACCTGGAGCTGGACGCCGGCGTCCCCTGCCCGCCAGGCGTGACGTGGCCAGGCAGGTGCAGAACGGAGCTTGTTGACTGTTTACTGAAGACTCTTAAGAACGCCTACCCGGGATTAGGAAACTGGGCTATGTGGCCAGACAGGGAAAGGTCAGCGCTCACTCGGCTTCTGCTAGTAAACAGGCCGGCGCCCCGGCGGGAAGGAAGCAGCCTGTCTGGGTTAGGAGACCAGGGTGAGCCCCAGAGATCAGCCCCCTCCCCCTGCAGATGAGGAAACTGAGGCTCGCGGAGCCTAACGGAGGGAGTGGGGGCTCTGGAGTAAGGTCTGCCTGGTGAGGGAGAATTACCGCTTTACTGGAACTTGCTTCTCCGATCCTCACATCTGGTTAGCCACCAAATCTACTGCACATGTTTCTCATGTATGCAATCTACATGCTCTCGTGCCTGCTCTCTCGGTGCAGGGCCTCACCTGCCCGAGGTCACTGCTTCCCACCCCTGCCCCCAGCCGCCCCCGTTCCGGCCACTGTGCACGCCACCAACACTCATGCTCCTAAAACACCACTCTGGTTCTATTTCTCTCCTGTTCAGAAACTACCACTGGCTCCCCACCGCCTCTGAGACCACGTTCAACCTCCTCGGTCTTCACCGAACGCCCTCTGCCCCCGCCCCCAGCCCCTGTCCGCTCGATCTGCTTCTCCCCGAAACGTGCCTTCCTGCCGGCCACCTCTGCGCACCTGGAGCCCTCCTCCCGAGTCCCTCTTCCTCTGTCTGCTCCCCGCCTGTGCGCTGCGTCTACTAACGGCCCTCCCCCGCTGCGCCCGTAGCTTTATTTCCTGCACCACCTCGAGGCTGCTGTCTGTGCCTTTTCCTGTGAGTGCATACATGCGGTGTGCACGTGTGTGCATGTGCATGTGTGTGCACGTGCGTGTTCCCATCCGAACTCCGAGCCTCTTCAGAGCTCGAGTCTCGCTCCTGCACCCGGCACAGGCCTGGCACCCCTCCTCCGCGGAAGCGGGGCTACAAATACACGTGGCTGGGCGGGGTACCCGAGAGCAGCGACCGGCGCGGGCAGCTCAGTGAGTGCTCCCTGCGGGCGGGAGCACGGCGTGTGCTCAGCACCGGGAGCGGGAGGACTCCAGACACCGCCTCGGCCTTTCGTGGGCGGCTGGCGGAGACACGACCACAAGCGGGGAAGCGTGTAAGGGCGGACAGCAGCACGGAGGACGACGCTCCGACTCCGCCCACCAAGTCAGGGAAGGCTCCTGGAGGGCTGGGAGAGGACTCCCCAGGCGGGAGGACGCATCTCGTGTAAGGGCCACTGGGAAGACCTGAGCCGCCCCAGGGGACTCCAGCTCGTGGGTGGTACTAAGAGGCTTAATGAGGATTTACAGTGGTGAAGACACAGCGGATTATTACAGAGTGGCCTGCTTTCAGTCAGAGACAGATGTCCCTAGCATTTGTCACAGGTGGAAGAGCTAGTTTTGTTCCTGTCCTCAGAACCTCGGTCTTTTAAGACAGACGCTTTTATCCCCCTTCCCCTGCCCACAAGGGAGACTCCGAAAGAACCCACCTGTGCCGGGCGCGGTGGCTCACGCCTGTCATCCTAGCACTCTGGGAGACCGAGGCAGGCGGATCACTCAAGGTCAGGAGTTCAAAACCAGCCTGAGCAAGAGTGAGACCCCCGTCTCTACTATAAAATGGAAAGAAATTAATTGGCCAACTAAAAATATATATAGAAAAACTTAGCCGGGCATGGCGGCGCATGCCTGTAGTCCCAGCTACTCGGGAGGCTGAGGCAGGAGGATCGCTTGAGCCCAGGAGTTGGAGGTTGCTGTGAGCTAGGCTGATGCCACGGCACTCTAGCCCAGGCAACACAGTGAGACTCTGTCTCAAAACAAAACAAAAAAGAACCCGCCTATGTCTTAACATCTAACAAGGCAACCCGAGGCCACATCCCGGTGGCCGTCACCAAAACCCTCAGCCTTACGCTCCAGTTTAGGGTGCTGGCCTCTCCTGGCTCCCGACCAGGAAGGAGCCCGTTCCTACGGACCACCGGATCTCGATACAGATCTGGGAACCTAGCGGTGGAACCCTGAGGTCTGCCCAGTGACAATGCCGCCAACAGGGCATTCAGATGCTTACCTGGGGGAATCTCTCTGGTTCACCTGGATGGCAGAGACACAGAAGCAGATGCTCACCTTCCCAGGTGGAGGGCCAACCTCTTCCACAGGATGTGTCAAACCGTACATTTTAGGGTGAGGTGGGGGTTAGAAATTTTCTGGTGTTCTGGGGCTTGACCAGGGCTTCCTCACGCTCCCTTCCCACCGCAAGGGCCCCCTGGACACGATGTGTCCGACGTGAGCAAACCCCATGTCAGCTGACACCCTCCCCGTCGTCATAAGGGGTCACGGTGAAGTCTGCGCTTTTTCAGGCCAGGAAGGGGTCGGAAAGGAACAGCCAAGACCCTACATGCTAGGATGCAGCGTGAGGGATGGGGAGGGCGGAACAATCTACCCAGGAAATCTCTAGAAAGAACAGGCCCAACTTAAACCCAGACTCTCTCCGCTCAAAACAGACTGGAAGAACAAGCCTTTCCCTCTCACTTCTCCCCCCACCTCTTTGCGCCTCTGGGGAATAAGGAGGGACAAGGGGCTTTTGGTTCTTGTGTGAAGACAGTTAATAATGACATTAAATATAAATGGCCTAAACACTCTAATTAAAAGACACAGTCACGCTGGTCAAAAAGAAAAAGCAAGCCTGACTGTAAGAAATCCACTTTAAACATAAAAACACAGGTTAGAAGTACAAGGATAGAAAAAACACACCACGCAAACACTAACCAACAGCACGATGAGCAGCTGTATTAACAGCAAACTACAGGACAAAGAATTCTTCCTGGGTTAAAGAGGGACATTTTCCATGATGATGAATGGGTCAATCCACCAAGAAGACGTGACACTTAATAAGCATAAGTAATTGGAATTATCTTTATTACAGTTCAGATGTATTATCATCTTTTCTACTTGGGTTTTATTGAGGAAATGGTCCTGATATTTGTGTTCCGATTCTCCCACGGGTAACTCTCCTTGGTCTGTATCTAGCTGGGCTACTGCCCCGTCGGGGCTGAGCCTGGACACTCTTTCCGTTAACATTCTCAGACCATGGGGCAGGGTGGGGTCATGCGGCTTCACCCCCACAGCACCCACCGGCAGGTAAATGCACCTTTACTCATCTGTCCCCTCCGCAGACCAGGAACTCCCTAAGGCTGGGGACGGTGTCACATCCATCTCTGAATTCTCACGCAGAACTGGACACACTATAGACACTTATTTGAAGAATGAGAATTTAAGTCTCAAAAACTCAAGCCCAGTAACTCTCATGGACTCTCCGAGCAGCGGCAGTTCTTATTAAAAAAGAAAGGTGAGCACGAAGTCAGAGATTGCCCGCCTTTGCCACTCACAGGCCCTGTGATCTCAGACATGCCACTTAGCCACTCAGTGCGCCTCGGTTTCCTCATTTGGAACTCGATCAAAAGAATACTAGCCCCGTGGAGTGGCAATTTTGAGTAGCTGTGTTTAAATGTGCTTTCCCAAGGTCGGTTCGCGCTGGAAGCAGTGGGCAGCCTACAACCGAGTGACAGACTGCCCAGAGTCTGGGGCCAGGAAAGGCAGGCAGGGCACAGGTCTGCCCCACCCCAGGCAGCAGAAGGGGAACAGCAGGGTTTCCTGGCTTCCCCTGTGCCCTCCCCTCTCCCCACCCCCTGCAGGAGAGCCTGGTCCCTCTGGCTCCGCCAGCACCCGGCTCCCCTGCAGTGGCTGAAGCCGTCTAGACCATGCAGCAAACCGCCACAAGGAAGTGGATGCAGCCCTGATGGGAACAGAGCCTGGGACTTTCTCAGTCTCCAGGACAGCAGCAGGGTGTTCCCGGAGGAGACGTCAGTGCATCTGTCCCCGACACCCGGTGGTTTTCAGGTTTCCCTCGATGACTAAGAGTCCAAATGGAGTACTGTGGCACAAGGGGGAAATCACCAACTCATGCTTTCTGAGTCAGCCTTCCCACAGCAGAACTGCGGGCTCCAGCCCAGACCTATGGAACAAGAATTTGCACTTGAACTTCATCTCCAAACGATGCCCAGGATCCAAGCTCAAGAGGCGCTCGCTCCCCTCCCCACTTTCTCCCCACGGCCTGGAGCTGAGGTATCCGTACTTTTCTGATCACAAACTACTACCCTCAATAAGATACCTATTTGTAAACTACGTACACATGCTACTGCACGGGTGCGCTACATACAAGGTAAAGCTTTACATAAAAATAGACCTTTTAAAAGAGGGGTTAAGGCCGGGCGCAGTGGCTCACGCCGGTAATCCTAGCACTCTGGGAGGCTGAGGCGGGCGGATTGTTCTAGGTCAGGAGTTCGAAACCAGCCTGAGCAAGAGCGAGACCCCGTCTCTACTACAAATAGAAAGAAATTAATTGGTCAACTAATATATATAGAAAAAATTAGCCAGGCATGGTGGCGAATGCCTGTAGTTCCAGCTACTTGGGAGGTTGAGGCAGCAGGATTGCTTGAGCCCAGGAGTCTGAGGTTGCTGTGAGCTAGGCTGACGCCATGGCACTCACTCTAGCTTGGGCAACAAAGTGAGACTCTGTCTCACAAAAAAAAAAAAAAGGGGGGGTTAAAAATAAAGAACAAAAGCTGTAATTTTCTCCAGGCAACCAAGGTGATCCTGTGAGGTCTAAGGACCCCAGGCACATTCTGCCTTCCCAGCTGCCAGATCAGAGGAGCTCACTGGGATCTGGGATCTCCCGGGGCTGAGCTGAGAGCACTTTCTGCACAGCTCTCACTTCCTTCCCGAGGCCCAACCCAGCTCCTTGAGGTTCAGCTCAGCCAGACCTCCCCTGGACCCACCTCCTACACTGTCTCCACCCTGCACTTTTGCTCCTCGTCTTCCCATTTGCACCTCAACGGCCCCAAGGATTTTTGCGGCTAGAAGCTTCTAGTCCAGTTTAATTACATTTATGTATTCTGTACTTCATTTGTTAGAGGCACAAGAACGCATTAAGAAGGGGTGGGGGAAGGAGTGAGTCTGGAAGGTGACTTCTTCAGTGTTCCAGCAGTAGGTAGTCTAATTTCCAGATTAGTAAACAATCCAATAAATCACTGAGATAAGGTGACTAGTCAAGCTAGAGGTTTTTAAATTGCTTCTAGGCACAACACCCTTGACCTTACCCCTGCCATTTTGGGATTAAACATCTATTTCTGGGCCTCTGGTAAAGGGTAAACAAGGTTCTTTTGCTTAAAAGTAAAACCATGGTCTCTTCATTAAAGAACCACGGGGTGGGCGCCAGGCACGCCCTCCCATGCCCACCTCCCACTCCACAGTAACCATAAACACAAGTCCAAGAGATTCAATGCAAAAAAGAGACCCAAAATGTTACTAATTTAAAGTAACTATAAATACAGAATATAAGTCTTTCAAGAAAGCAAATTCCACGTACTCCCAGTCAGTCCTCTCAGTATCCTAGACCCAGAACCTAAAAGAGGTTGGGAAAGGTTTAAGGAAATGCACATCCAAGAAATAAAAACATTATAAAAATGTAAACCTGGGAGTCAGGAAGGACCCAGTCCTTCCTTGGGCCTCTGATCCTTCTGGGATTTCACCCTGCGGCATAAACATTTGGAGAGTGCCAAATTTTTAGTGCCACAGACTCTGCACATTTGTAAGCCTCCTACAGACTGCAGCAAACAGTGTTGCTGAATTCTCAGACAGTACTGGGCACGTTCTCCTGTTCTTCCCCCGCCCACCAGTCCTCAGGGGCAAGTTCATCCCATCTCACCTGAGGATCACCCCTAAGGCCCAAGATCGCAGTCAAATATCCTGCGAAAACAGGTCTACTCTGCATTTATTGGTAATGCCTGCCTCTTACCCCTCCCCACACAATTGCATGGTGGCCCGGTTCTGAGCGCCTGGATCCCTTTGCTCACTAAAATTAAGATCCCACCCTGCCTGCAGCCACCAGAGACCCCATTACAATCCAAAAAACAGAAAACATGCTTCCCCCCCCCCCAAATGCACCTGCCCCCCAAGCAGATCCACTGTGGCAAGGAAGTATGAGGGGGGAACTTTGTTCGAGGACTTTTAGGGAGACACTAGGGACCACTCTGGGAGGCTGTACTGGTGGATGATGTGGAAGTTTCTTGGACAGCAAGCCAGACCACAGAGACTGCCTAATCCCACCCCCACGCCCACAGGCTCAAGCAGATCTGCAAGAACACTGAGCACCTGCTGCTGCCCATCCCATCCTTGTATTTCTGGCCCATTAAACTCATACACAAGTGAATGGTGGCAATAATTGGACCATCTTGCTACAGACTTGGCATCTGGAATATGACACTGGGGGCCACAGAGCTGAATGGGACCAGCACTGACACTTCCCTTCTGACTTACCAGGGCACCATATCTGGTGTTGCCTGGACAGCTGAAATGTACTGGTCAGGGTTGAAGTTACTCCTCCAGTCCTCAGCCCTTCCTGTGTGGGCCCCACTTCTAGCTTGGTCCAGGCATATGGAGTGGAAGGGGAAGGACTGCCAGATTTGACCAAAAAAAAGGGCTAGGAGGAAATGGGAAAGATGGGTGGCAGTGAGATACTGTGACCACATGTGATAAACCCAAAGTCACGATTGTTCTTTTAACAAGTTCAAGGGCACCTGTAGGGACAATGGATCAGACACATGCACTACTGAAGACCTGACTTGCTGGTGAGATTGGGGGGGGGGGGCTCCTACATCCCAGAGTTGTCCTGGCATCCTCCTCTGGCCAGGGACCAATGTCCCTCTTCACCTGTGGTAGGCAGTCAGTGACAACACCAAACAGGGTTAGACAAACCCTCTAGTCCAAAGCAATTGATCAATGGAGAAACCCTCTGTTACTTTGTAAATAATGGCAGTATCATTATTCACAAAGTAACCCGTTCCATGAAAATACATGCATTTTCCACCTGTAATCCCAGTGCTTTGGGAGGCCAAGGTGGGAGGGAGGATTCCTTAAAGCCAGGAGTTTGTGGTCAGCCTGGGCAACATGGCAAGATCCCCATCCTACAAAAAAAGTAATATTTTAAAAAATTAGCTGGGCCTGAAAGCTTGCACTTATAGCCTCAGCTACTCAGGAGGCTGAGGCAGGAGTATTACTTGAGCCAAGGAATTCGTGATCCAGCCAATGCACGCCAGCCTGGGAACAAAAGATCAACTGCCTCTTCAAAAAAAAAAAAAAGAAAAAGAAAAAAGGGGGGGAAGGGCTTTGGAGTCTGCTGGCAGACAGAGCATTTGCATCTTAGCTCCACCATGCTCTCGCTAACATTATGTAAACACTCAGCTGTACCTGACTTCTGGAGAAAACTCCACACACCCTAACCTGTTCACCTCTAACCCTTATCTGTAATTAACCTGAACCCTGCCTCCCGTGAAAGTCTCTTTTCGTCCGGAGGCAGCAGGGGACCAGCCAGTTAACCTCCTTGTTCGCAGGAGAGACAGACTTCCAAACACACTTGCAAGCAGGGGTCGAGTGCCCTGTCAGTCCTTCTAGAGTAAACACCCCCAGTTCTCCAACACGCGTGCTGTGACTTCTTGCCTGACACTTCACCAGCTAAGTCACCCTCCCCAAGCTCACTCCGGGCAGGCCCTCTTAGGAAAAATACTCGGCCTCAGCCACAGACCCGGTGCTTTGTAGGGCCCTGGGGGGGGGGTAGGTCTGGACCACGCAGCAGGGGCTAGGAGGGGCTAGGAGGGCGCGGAGCCCTCAGAGGGCCAACACCCGGGAGGCAGCACCTGTGCTGTCGTCACCTGGGGGCCGCCGCGGATTCGGGGCGCTGTTTCCATGGGAGCCAGGTGGAACGCCGCGTCCCCGAGCCGCGCGCGGGTTCGGCACCGCGTTCTGCTTTCTCGCAAAGACAAAGACAAAAACACGGCGTGCCCTTACGCAACCTCCCAGGTCCACCGCATATTTTTAAAAGCGCGGCCCGCGTGGTTTTCCCCTTCTGCGTGCGGCTGGCGCGCCCGCCCCGCCCCGGTATCCGGAAAAAAAAAAACACCTTCCCGTCCGATTTCCTCTGGCGCGTTTACAAAGCACAGCCGCTCCCGGGCGTCCTGGGAAAACACCCTCGGCCGGGAAGGCAGCGGCGGCGCACGGGGCGCGGGCGGGGAAGGCTCGCGGGGAGAGCGCCGGGCCCACGCCGCGCTCACGCGCCGCGCAGGCACGCGCGGGGCAGGCTGGGGCGGCGCGGGGCACGCCGGGGGCGGCGCGCGGCGGCGCACGTGAACGCGGCGTGCCGGGCGGCCTGGGCGGGGCGGGGCGCACGCTGACCGACTCGTGCGCCGCGCGCCGCAGCCAATCCGCGCGGGCGTCCGCCACGCCCCGCCCCCGCTGCCCCGCCTCCCCGAGTCCCTGGGTGACCCCGCTGGGACGTTCCGCGCACGCGCGTAACCCCAGGGCGCCGTCGCCGCCCGGCGGGCTGGGACGCGGTAGTCAGGGGTTACCGGGCTGGGCCGCTCCGGCCTCAGAGCTGGCTCGCGTCCGGCCGGGCGCCTCCCTGAGCTCCCGGCTCCAGGAGGAACGGGTGGGACTGCGGAGCTGGGGGTCGGTCTGCAGAGGGTGGGCGGCCTGGCTTAGAACAACAACAACAACAACTTAGTATTGTTGTTAACTTGTTAGCTCCTGCGCGGTGACTGGAAAGATGTCACGTAAAACATTCCTGGTGGTATCTCCTTGCAGGCCCTCCTGCCCATGCACATGTTTCCAAAGCCCGGGGAGCCCCTCCTGCACGGGGCCGCCACCCGCGGGGGCAGCCGTTACCTTGAGGAGCTTTATTTTTATCATTAATACCGCCAGGAGCAAAGGAGATTCAAGATGAAGACGACATTCCCCCGGGGGGAAACACAGAAAAAGCACATAGAAGATACGAATGTGGAATGGGGCAAGGGGAGGACGGGTGTTGGACTGGAATAAGAGCGATCAGGGTGAATTTTATGTCTTAAAAAATAACTGTTTCCGAGCTCTGTGCACTGAAAAGGCCCTAAGGAGCAACGATACCTCGCTAGCAAGAAGCAGGGCTGACTAACTGGACCCCCTCGTGGCCAGAAGAATATTCAAGGGCAAAGTTGCCTGCCAAGAGGAGGGAGGTCAGACAGGCCTTATCATGCCCCCCCACTCCATTCTTAAAGACTTCCTTTATAACCCATTAACAGGCCTAAGGGTATGCAAGACAAACCTGCAGGCCTTCAATTTGCAACAAATGGTGGCTTATCTCTGATAAACAGTTTATGTTAAAACTTTCTTTAGACAAAGCTTCATGTCTTTAGCCAATTACAATCTAGGGAATCTTTAAACCCACCTATAACCTGTAAGCCCCTGCTCCGAGATGGCCCTCCTTTTTGGGCCAAACCAATGTTTGCCTCCCACACATTGGTTAATGGCTTTACCCATAACCCTTGTCTCTAAACTGTATAAAAACCAAACTATAACCCAGCCACAGCGAGTCCACTTGCCCAAGGCCTCTTGGCAGTGACTCTGGGTCGTGGTCCTCAAATTTGGCTCAGAATAAATCTCTTTAAAATTATTTTGCAGAGTTGGCTTTTTTCCGTTGACACTTCTCACTACTGGTCTACACTAAAAGGGACAGGGCTCCTTGGGCGAATGGCTAATGCCAAGGCTGAAATTAGGAAGTACAGGACAAGCCTGGGACATCTGGGGATGCCAGGAAGTACCGTGTTTCCCCGAAAAATAAGACAGGGTCTTAAATTTATTTTTCCTCAAGAAGACACCCTAGGGCTTATTTTCAGGGGATGTGTTATTTTTTTTAAGGACGGTTCAGCAATCTACATTTATTCAAATAAGAGTTAAGTCGTCTTCTTCTGGAACACCATCATAACTCTCCAAACCCCGAATTCCATCCTGAATTTCTTGGGACTCTATTTCCTTTAGAACCATCGGCCCCAATCTCTCATATGGAGCCACAGAGTTCTCATTAAAGGAGCAGGGCTGGCTTATCTATCAGAGATCCAGTGAGCACTGGGTCAGAGCTGCACAGTGGAGCAGAAATGATCTCTCTGGGCTCAGTAGGAGACTGCTTGCTGAAGCTTTTCCCCTGTCCCCTGGTGTTTGTGGGGGGTGAGGGAGGCCCATGGTGCTGAGTAAAATGGCAGCCACAGCGTTCCTTCTTCCCCCTGGGGACACACAATACCTAAAGCGGAGCGTCCTGCTCCTCACTTCACCGAGGAGACTTCCCCTCAAAGCCTCAGCTCGCAGCACGCACAGGGTGGCCCGGACCCGACAGGGGGAGCCGACCTTGTTGGTGGGGCTGCCCGCACCTTTCCGGTCACCTCTGGGCTAGCAGCTGTCACGACGGGGCAGATGAGAAGGGCTGCTCGTCTTCTTTCCCGCTCAGTGACAAAATGCATGGGTTGTGCAGATGCGCTGCGCAGCCACGCCCGTCACTAGGGCTTATTTTCGGGGTGGGGCTTATATTGCCCAAATGCTTAGAAATCCTGCTAGGGCTTATTTTATGGGGAGGTCTTATTTTCAGAGAAACACGGTAAGGACGAGCTCAAAATGTATGGGGACCAGGCACAGTGGCTCACACCTATAATCCCAGCACTTTCAGATACCAAGGAGGGAGGATTGCTTGAGGCCAGGGGTTTGAGAACACCCTTGGCAACATAGCAAGGCCCTGTCTCTACAAAAAATTTTTAAAAATTAAAAATTGGCCGGGTATAGTGGTGTGAGTTTATAATCCCAGCTACCCAGAAGGCTCAGGTGGGTGGATCACTTGAGCCCAGAAGTTCTAGACTGCAGTGAGTTCTGATCACATCACTGCACTCCAGCCTGAGTGACAGAGCAATTCCCTGTCTCTAAAATTAAAAAAGCAGTTGGGGTGTGTCAAAAGTACACAGCAGCCTTCCTGAAAGGGCTGTCAGCCAAGTTTGGAACAATTTGAGCATCAAATGAATCATGCCAGGAATAGATGATAACACGGGCAATAATAGTTTTAAAAATCCCTGAGTCCATAATGATACTATTACTACTACTAACAATAATAATGAAATTCAAACAAGTGAAGGGGAGGACAAGCAGGAGAGTGCTCCTGTACAAAAGAACGACAACTAATAAATGTTGAAGAATGATGGAAACAGCGAATTGCCCTTTCATAACCACCATTGTAATCAGTGTTTCAGTCAAGCATCATCAACAGATGCCAAAACTGTTGCGTAAATGATTATTCTGGGTATTTATCCAAAAGAATTGAAGGTCTCGAAAAGATATCTGCACATCCATGTTCATAGCAACATTATTCACAGCAGCCAAGAGGTAAAGCAAGGTAAGGTAAAGATGCTCTTACATTCATAATCACAGCGTGACCACCACAATCAAGAAGTTAACTCCAGTACCATACAGACTCCAAATCAACTTCACCATTGGTCCCTGAAACATTCTGGCTCCCATCTGGGGTCACACCTTGCATTCATAGTCCTGTCTCTTTAATCAGGTTGTCTACCTTTAAGGACCTATTAATTAATAGGCCTTACTCGGCTTTTTGGAAAATAGACTCTCCAAATAATTTCATTTCTTGGCTAAGACTTAAATATAATTGGTAATAATAATGGAAACAAGAACTTAAAACCAAAAAAATGGATTTTAGGTTTTGATGACATGTGGCAATCTGCTTGTATTAAAGCTATTTTATAAGCCATGCAAACATACGGGTTTGGGAACTGCTGGTTTTTTTTTTTTTTTAACAAGCAGGTGGGGGAACTCCTCTTCCTTCTAGCTTTCTGGACCTCAGGTGTAGAAAGTTTCAGTAACTATAATTCTTGGTTCATCTCATGCTCTTGTACCTGAGCCGTGCATGAGCCTCTTTTGTGTTTATTTGTTTGTTTGTTTCAATAATATAACAGACAACTATGACTCCATCAGCCAACTGGCATCTGAATTCCTGACACTAAGTTACTGTACCCCCATGACCTGTTCCTGCCTCCCTCCAAAGAAAAGTAACCATTACCCTGAATCTTATAAAAAAAATATATAGTTTTATTATATATGTATCCCTAACAAGCATACTGTTTCATTTCAGTTGTTTTAATTTTATTAAAAAGTATCTTACTGTACCTATTTTTTTGGAATTTTTTTAGTCATCAACAATATTGAGAGCACACTCAAACAACATTTGAGTGTAGCTCATTTTGACTGCTGTATAAATATTTCCTGCTATGAATATACGAAGAATTATTTATTTTCCTGTCCAAGTGCGTTTGGGTTGCTTAAACTTTTTCCTATGAGAGTGCCATAAACACATAAACACAACTGTGTGAACATCAGTTCCTCTCTGTGACACTAGGAATGGTATTGCTGGTTTAGAGTATGTGGATTTCAACTTTACAAGATAATGCCAAACTGTCTCCAAGGCGATTGTACCCATCCACACTCCCACCAGCCATGTATAAGGGACCTTTGTGATCCACATTCCCTCTGACATTTAAAACTATGAGACTTCTTCATCTATGCCAGCCACATAGCGTTGAAATGTGTCCCTCACTGTGGTCTCCATCTGCATATTCCTGATCACTAAAGAGGTCAGATTTCTTTATTTCCTTTTGGTGCACACTGCCTGATTTTTAGCAGTTTTCACCAGTCATTCAGTTATCTCTAATCGAAGCCAGAGAAAAGAGCACAGCCGAAGAGAAACAAAGGACTGCTCGCATGCTAAAGAGCCGGTTCTCCCATAATGTGGATTAGGATTCACTGTTATGCCATGTATTACTTATTACTCATTCTGAAATGTATTCCTTAAAGTTTCACACAGTTAAGAAACCAATTTCCTATAGAGCAGTAGTGACAACATGACCTTTTGCTTCGTTCAAGTGACTTTAAATGAAAAGGCTTTTCTAGAATCCTAGAAAACATGATTTCACCTTGAAGTCGGTTCCGTGTAGTTCTCCCTGTACATCCAGGCCACGGGAAACAATGTAACAGTGGCAAAAGTGGTTCTTGGTAGAGTGCGGACTGACTTATTCTTATTGCAAAGGGAT